AAGGCCATTGTACTCTATATATCAAAGAAAAATTATATCAGCTACGGGTATGCGCAAAGCGAATGGGTCCGCAGCTGCAGGAGCGCACCCTTTTCTCGTAGCTGCAGCGGCGTGCCACTTTAACCACTTAGAAGTGGCCGTCTCCATACACCGCCCGCGTTATACTCAAGGTGGAGCACTAGTGTCGATACAAAGATCCCGCAGCAAAAGACGCATTCGGCGGCAGAGAACAGTCATAGTGAGAGAGCACAGGCAGGTAGCGCGTTTGCCTATAGCTAGGCGCCTGAGTGATCGTGCGGCAACATGAGCGGAGTATGCAGACGGCATCCGTTTATCACTGCCCTCCATCCCGTTCCCGTGCACTCTTGAGTGGGAAAAGTGCAACGCTACTACCCATTCTTCCCGCACATGGCAGGAAACCGGATCCACGGGACTGAGTGTACATTTCTCTCAGTATAGATTAGTCGAGAGATTATTGGATTAGTAGATTAGTCAGTATCCCTGTACTCTTTCTAGGACTGAGATATATGTCAGCTTTGTAACTTTGAGATGTTTCAGACAAGCACCGCTTCAGTGAAACGAAGCTACCATTCAGATTTGGACTGTACATATATGGTCAATGTGCGCTTCGTACTTTTTCATCGTAATATAAATGGGAGGTTAGTGAAGATTTTGCATTAAAGGGAGACATGGGAGACAATACGCTTTGCTTACGATTAATACGGAATATCTTGGGATGAACTTAAGACGCAACGTAATAAAATATGTTTGTATTCATAGTGAAGCAGGAACAGAACGGAACACTGCGCTCATCGCTAAAACGGCACGACTTGTAATTCTTGAGTGTTTTGTGTTGCGAAGATTAGAATGCCAGGACTTTGAAGACAGTTCTGCGATCAAGTGATCCGCTAATGCCACATTGTGAGTGGTAGTGTGGTGGGAAGTGACGCCGCTCAAAGACGTACTCCGCGCTCACCTCCTAAAATACTAATCCTTGCCATGTGCGAGGAGAATGGGTCCGCAGCTGCAGTAGCGTGCCAATTCTCTCGCCCCAAAGTACACAGAAGAGAGGCGTCGCTTGATGCCCCGTCCACGCGAGGCCTAACATAACCATAGCCAAACGCGCTACTTGTCAACACCCCTTCA